GGTTGTTCAGATACATTAAAATATCAATAATGTTTGGTCTTTGTGGCGTACAGATGGCATATAAATCATTGAAAATATTGTTGTGCGCCTAAGTTGACGTCTGGTATCGGGCACTAGCGAGATCTAGTGTTAGGACGAGAGCGAGGAGGGCTTCCTAGAAAATGTCAATCTTGAACTTTCCACCAAGAGCGCCATCTAGTATATAACAGAAGAATTAAGCTTTCTAGAAGCCCTACACTCGAACTTTCTGCGCCTGGTTGGTCGACGCCCGTATTTTCTGGGATATTCTGGATGTTTCGGTAGAAGAGCCCTATATAAAGCCGTTGATAGCCGCGATCGAACAGTATTAAATTTGGCGAAACAAGCGAAGCTTCGGAGCGAAATAAAGTGAATCAGTGTGATTAATTATTAGTGTCTTTTAAGTTTTAATTGGTGTACGGTAATATAAGTATAAATTTTAGTAATTCAATCGGCAGTTTTTATTGTCACGAACCTCAAGCTAGTAACAATTGGTGTCAGAAATGTGATAAAATCATGCCTTTTTTACCAAAGGAGGAAACGGAGGGTGTCCGTACCCGAAGTCAACGCCAGCAGGAGACGGACCAGAGATGATTTGGTGGTGTAACGCCGCAGACTTCGGAGGGCCAACTGCCAGCCACGGAGGCTGGCCCGTCAGCAGATCCTACACCTGCAGCACCTGACGTAGGTGCTCTCATGATGATGCTACAGGAGCAGGCTCGCCGGCAGGAGGAACAGGCCCGCCAGCAGGTGGAACAGGCACGCCGATTGGAAGAGCAGCTGCGGGGCGGACAAGAGGAACAGGCCCGTCGGTTGGAAGAGCAGATGCTCCTCATGAAGGACCTTCACGCTACCTTCGGGAAGGAGATCAAGGAGATGAAGGATAAGGTTGCTCAACATGACAACCGCCTGTCGGAAGCTGAAACCCAAATTGTGAAAGCTGAAACCCGAATCGAGAAAGTTGAAACCTGAATCAACCAAGTGAACAATCGGGTTGACAACGTGATGGCTGACGTGAAGAAAACGATGGACGACCTCAAACTGGGGGATGGAATTACAGCTCCCGTAGTAGCTACAACACCTTCGCTACGTGGGTTCAAAGTGCCACCGTTCGACGGGACTTCTTCTTGGTCAGATTGCAAAATCCAGTTTGAAGCCGTTATGAAGGCGAAAAGCTGTAATAAAAGTCAGGCCATGACTGCTTTCACACTAGGCCTGCGCGACCAGGCCTTAACTGTTCTGGAAGCTCTCGGGGAGGAAGTGACTTATGAGCAGCTCCTTAAGACATTGGAGGCGAGATATGGCAACGCTCACCTGGAACACGTCTTTCGTGCGCATCTTAAAGATCGCGTGCAGCGTATCAACGAAAACCTGCAGCAGTGGGCTATAGAGGTAGAGAAGCTGGTGCAAAAAGCATACCGGTCTGTACCTGTGCTTATTGAGGGGAACCAGACATTCATCGACGGCATCCGCGACCTTGAAGTCAGAGCTGCTGTGAGGCTCGGGCACCACGAAACGCTTAAGAACGCCTTGGCCCATGCACTGTAGGTGGAAGCCGTGCGGCAGGATCTGGGAACGATGATCGCGTCCAGGAGGTTGCAACAGCTACAGTTCGCGATCGCAATAAAGAATACAGCCCTAGGTGCTGTGGCTGTGGGGAAAGGGGCCATCTTCGATCCAGCTGCCCTAAGCAAACCCTAGAAAGGGAAGGTGAACGATCTCCGGAGGGTAATGCGGCCAACAGCACCGCCCAGCAGCAGTAGGAAAACGAGTAAAAGCCAGAACTGCGGGGCGGGTGCTGGCTGATGTAAAAAAGCCCCAAGGATCTCGATCTAACAAACCCATGATGAGAACAGTCTAATCATCAAGGGCGAGGTCAACGGAATGCCGTGTAAACTGACCACAGACAGTGGAGCCTCTCGTACGGTTGTTAGTTCCCAACTTATAAGTCAGTTCCTTGGGGACTCTGCATACAACCGAAAACGCATTAATTTGGTAACAGCCACCGGTCAGTGTATACCCGTCCATGGAGAGAAGGAGATGGACTTGGAGCTAGGCAACATGATCTACCTGCATAATGTTATCGTGGCTGATATAATTGACGACTTCATCCTGGGCCTAGACTTTATGAGGAATAATTGTTGTGAGATCGACGTTAAGCAAGGTGTTTTAAAATGTGGACATGAGGAACTTTTTATGGAAGATGCGTTACCAGGAAACGTGTACAGCATTAAGAAGATTATTTTTCCGCCGAGATCGGAAACGATTGTGCCGGTTACTCTTCTTCGAAACGCAGGGCAAGCTCACCGTTGTGTACTTGAGGAAAGGGTAAATAATGACCTTCCATGGAAAGTAGTATGAACCTTGGTCAGAACCACTGACATCACAGGAGTACGTTTGCTGAACCTTTGTGACCAGGAACAGATTATAGAAAAATGCACACTAGTTGGTACTTGTGAGAAGTGGTTTGGTTACGTCAGAGCGTATATCTATAGAGTGGGACCCCCAGCAAGGATGCACAAACGAGAGTGACCACACTTTTGGAAGACTGTCGCAGCGTTCTCTCCCCGAACGAAATGATCAAGGCGAAGAAGTTGTTACTCAAGTATGCCGATGTATTCTCATCAATCAATGCTGACATTGGAAAGACTGTCTTAGTTCAACACAAAATTAACACAGGAGAAGAATTGTCTATCCATCAGCGGCCTAGAAGATTGCCGGTAGCACGTGAAAAGGAAGTGGAAACCATGATTGAGGGAATGGTGAAGGATGGTGTTATTGAACCTTCATCTAGTCCATGGTGTTCACCTGTGGTGCTGGTAAAGAAGAAGGACTGCAGCATGCAGTTCTGTGTTGACTTCCGCCGTCTGAATGACGTTACAAAGAAGGACAGCTATCCCTTGCCAAGAATTGATGACACGCTGGACATGCTTACAGTAGTAAAGTGGTTTAGCACGCTAGATCTAAAAAGTGGCTACTGGCCAGTTGAAATTGACCCTAAGGACAAGGAGAAAACTGCGTTCTCGACGGGAAAGGGTCTGTGGCAATTTAAAGTAATGCCGTTTGGGTTGTGCAATGCTCCAGCAACAGAATCATAATCATAATCAGAATATTTATTGCCAATATATTGTGTATGTACAATTTGCGGGTGACATTGCAATCAAATGTTACACGGTTTACCCATATCGGGTATGCAATAATTAAGAAACAAAACTTAATATAAATTATTTGGTATTAAAGTATCCATTTATATTATCAAAAACATTAAATATTAACCATTTTTTTTAGTTGAATTTTAAATTTTGGCAAGTCCATGGCTTTTATATCAGGTGGCAGAGAATTAAATATTTTAATACCTGTGCAAAAGGTGCTCTTAAAATACAGATAATTATTTTTCGTAGGTGTATATAAATTATGCTTATATTTACTGCGCATTGGACGTGAAATCCCGTTAGATTTAATCTGAAAATAGTTGCCACTCTGTTTGATAAAAAGTGATATTTCCAAAATATAAATATAAGTGAAAGTGGAAATGCCTTTTCCTTCGAATAAATTTCTTAGAGTTTCATCTGAGTACATAGTATAAATGATACACAGACATCGCTTTTGCAGAATAAATGTTGACTGCACGTTTGTAGAACTACCCCAGAAAATAATACCGTAAACTAATAGAGGGTACACCTGGCCGAAATATACAGCCCTTGATACATTGTCGTGAAGCGACAGTTAAAAACTTAAGAACCTAACCTAACAACAACGAAACAACCAAAAAAAAAAAAGTAATTTATTTAAAATTTTAAAAGATAAAAATATATGAAAATGATGATGGGGTTTCAAACTAGTAGCATCACGGAGTATGCACAGGCTATGCCTGTGGTAGGTGCGCAGCGCCTGATCTAGGCAGACGCAGTGTCTGGAGTAGGCACACGTAGCGCTTGAAGTAGGCACACACAGCGCCCGGAGTAGGCACACACAGCGCTCGGAGTAGGCACACGCAGCGCCCGGAGTAGGCACACACAGCGCTCGGAGTAGGCACACACAGCGCCCGGAGTAGGCACACGCAGCGTCTGGAGTAGGTACACGCAGCGTCTGGAGCAGGTGTAGGCGTAGGCGTGGCTAGGCAATGACTTCAGGTGAAGGCAGAGGCTTGCAGGATCCCGGGGCAGTGCGGATAAGTCCTTTAGGAGATGCTTCTAGTATGAAAGCTGAAGCGACTCTTTTACGTGGTAGAGCCATGCTGCAATTATATTAGTAGTATAGTTGTAGCACGAATGGGTCGGCTCGACCGGGGAAGGACCACGCTCTCACAGAATACCAGCGTGAAATAGTAGCTTAATGCTGCTGTATTTCCTCTTCCCCCGGACCGCAGTCAAGTGCAGACGTGTTAACTAATATTATTTTATAACAATTTAAAATCCTAATTAAATTCAGTGGTGACAAAAATTCGATTAAAAAAATAGGAGTGCATAATCGTACCGGAATATACTACGGTCATCGATACCTAAGCCTCGAAGCCCCACCCAGCATCTACGAAGCAGGGACAACTAACTAGCTCCGGCCAATAGACTAATCACTACATACTTCTGCAAGCCTGGTACCGTAAGTGCATGAAAATTATTGCATTGGAATTAAAATTCTATTGACGAAAATTCGAAAAAATAGGAGTGCATAATCGTACCGGACTTTATTACGGTCATAGATACCACAGCCCCGAAGCGCCGCCCAGCATCTATGAAACAGGGACAACCTACTTACTCCGCCCTATAGACTATAACTACATACTTTTGCAATCCTGGTACCGTAAGTGCATGAAAATTATTAATTACTTTTACGACGACCACTCGGCACTTTTAAAATCTCCACCTACACACCACCTTACAATATTATTGGAATTAGTGACAATATAGTTTAGTTCCGCCCTTCGGGCCAATCACTTCGTACTTCTGCTGCCCTAGTATCGTAAGCGACCAAACCGATAAGAAATGTATCGTACACCCGAAAAATCAAGCTCCAAATCTAACTTACGACAAATCTCAAGTAATACTGAATCTTCGCCATCAGCAAGCTTCACAAATACGCGTACTAAGAGGAAACGCTTGGAGGAGTCACCCATAGACTTCTGCGAGTTTAAAAATGAAATAAAAGATATGTTATCCTCATGGATGTCTCAACAAAATAGCGAAAGAATACAAATTACGTCTTCTCTAAAGACAATTGAGGACTCAATGGCATTTATGACTGCACAATTTGAAGATATGAGGAAAAAAATGGAAGAAATGGAATGCGAAATATATCAAAATCATCCCTAATAAATATGGTATGGATAATAAATCAAAATCATCCCTAATAAATATGGTTACTCAATTATCTACATCGCTCAAAGTTGAACTCAAAACTAACGATATAAAAGACATTTATAGATCCTCTCACAAGGGTGACAAAAAGCCCATAGTAGTCGAATTGTCATCCTACATACAGAAGACGAATATATTACACGCTGCAAAAAATATATAATTTTCAAAATAAAAACAATAAACTCACTTCGCAGCATTTGGGCTTAAAAGGCAACAACACTCCAATTTTTGTGTCGGACCATTTGACACAAAAAGGAAACAGACTGTACTACTTGGCTAGGGAATTAACCAGAACTCAGAAATATAAGTTTTGTTGGACATCGCTCGGTAACGTTTTGGTGAGGAAAGATGAGAGCTCACCGATCATAAAAATAGAGAACGAATGTCAAATCAAAAACATGTATATTAACAAATGACTATTTTTATTTATAGCTCAGACATGTTCTTGGTTTGACATTATTATTGTTTACCTCCTTTTCTACTTTTATTGTACATTTTGCATTGTTTACATTTTTCATATTATATATAACTATATGTACATATCACGAACACTAACTATTTACACAAGCTCGCACATCAAACATCACACTCATAAACATAAAAATTAATCACCGCACTCTTTTACATACATATCTTTCACCGAAAAATTTGCTGTTCTTTTATCGAAAATTAATAATAAAAGTTAATAATTTAAGTTCACTCCTGATCGAAGATAAACAAATTTTTTTCCAGTATTTTTCTCATTGCAGTAATTTTGGTGAATATACTTTTTATGCAATGTTACTCGTAAAATTTTTTGTTACCGGACTAGTAGGAACGAAAGCCCTTTCTGAATAATAATGGATAGTTTGCTACAAACTAATACAGATATAGACAATACTGAAGTTGCCCAGGCCTTTATGTGCAGGCCTGAGGATTGCCACTCTCACATAACTACATTTAATCATTTAACCATTCTCACTCAAAACATAAGGAGTATTTATAAAAATTTTGACACTTTTCAAGTAATGTTGGACTCACTAAACATTCATTGCGACATACTAGTCATGACAGAGTGTCATCTTTCAAAAAATAAGCCCATTCCAACACTTAATAATGACTATAATAAATATTTTGCAAAAAACACTTTAAATCAGTGTGACGGCGTGATATTTTACATACATAAGAAACTTAACTACAAAATATCGTAACCTTGCATTAGGAATGCCTCTTGTCTTGTGCTTACCCTAACTGATACAGTTCTAATAGGTATATATCGTACACCTTCAATACTAAACACTGACGACTTCACCACATCTCTTCAAACCTTACTCCGTCGTTATAAAAGTTATCAAAACATTATTTTAACCGGTGACATAAACATAGATATCAAATTCGGTTCCATAGACACTAATTGCCCCAATTATTTAACCTCACTTGCTTACCATGGATTGCTTCCTGCTCATAGGCTTCCAACTCGTGACAAAATGTGCTATGATCATATGATGCTAAAAACAGTACACCCAACGAAATCTCTCGTACTCACTAATGCCCCCACTGATCATTCCACTGTTCTCCTAAACCTTATGAATAAGCCTGTGCGCCGCAATGTTTCGAACTCTTGATGAAATAAAGTCCAAACTTATAAAAATACTAGACATACATGACCCAACACTGGCTGCTGATGCTTTGGTTAGTATAATTTCAGTAGCAATGAAAAATAATCAAACGATAACCACAATTCCCGTTAGAAAACGCTGTATTCAGCCATGGATAACACCTGGAGTATTACGATGTCTACGAAATCGAGATAAATTACATTATAAAGTTAAAAAAAAAATCCTGATAATCACATTTTAAAAATAACTTATATACGCTACAGAAATTACTGTCATAAGCTTGTTCGGAAGCTTAAAAATAATTATGAAAGGAGGAAATTGGATAATGCAAAAAATAACCCCAAAATGCTGTGGAAGAATATTAAATCAATTTGCTATGTTAATAAAGATAATTCTGACGACACATATAAACTTACAACTATAGCGTCCTCCCCTGTAGAATCTGCAAATTTTATTAATGATCACTTTTCTAGTATAGGCAAAAACTTGGCTGAAAATTTAAAAAACTCTGCCCCTCCTATAGTAAATAATTACATGACTAAAATGCCAACTCCAATGAATTCTTTTGTTCTACTAGATACCGACCCGTTGGAAATAATTTCGGTCATAAGCGATCTCTCTAATGAGTCTGCCCTAGGATGGGATAACATTCCAACATCATTTATTAAAATGGCCAGACACACCCTTACACCTATAATTTGCCATATCTGCAATCTCTGTTTTAAAAGTGGCCGATTTCCCATAACATTTAAAAAGGGCATTAGTAACCTCTATACATAAAAGTGGAAGTAAAGATGATGTGGACAACTACAGACCAATTTTTGTGCTAACAGTTCTATCAAAAACACTAGAGAAACTAATAAATAATAGATTGAAAAAATATCTCATAGATAACGACCTACTCTCTAAACACCAAGTTTTAGAAATGGAATTTCTACTCAGGATGCTGTGTTAGCCTTAACTGAAGAAATAAGTAAGCAACTGGACTCTGGTAACAAGTGTCTTGGAGTCTTTTTGGATTTGGCCAAGGCGTTCGACACCGTTTCTATCCCTATCCTGTTAGACAAACTATATAAATATGGTATAAGAGGCCTGCCTCACGCCCTTCTAACTGACTATTTTACCGAATGTCAGCAACAGCTCAAGCTTGGTGAATATCTTAGCCGTCCATCAAATATCTCTTATGGTGTCCCTCAAGGTAGCGTCCTCGGACCTACTCTATTTTTAATCTATGTCAACGATCTATGGAATTTAAGCCTACAAAATTGTCAAATATACACCTACGCAGATGACACTGCTCTCATTTTTAACGCAAAATCATGGGAAAATCTAAGGATTATTGCTGACTCCGGAATATACCATATATCTAACTGGCTAAGATCGAACCTTCTGACCCTTAACATTAACAAAACTAAATTCATACCTTTTACCATACGGAAAAATACACAACCAAATTCTAAATTTAACCTAACAGTTCATACCTGCCATAAGCCATATTTAGATAGCTATAATAATTGCTCATGTGATAAAATCACTAGGACTAGTACCATCAAATATCTCGGTGTAACTATTGATCAGCACCTTACCTGGAGTCAACACATTGAAAACATTGCTGACAGGATAAGGAAACTAACATGGGTATTTAAAAACTCAGGTGTGTTGCAAATGAAACAACTCTTATAACCACCTACAAAGCTCTGGCGCAATCGGTAATGAGTTATTGCATACCTGTTTGGGGTGGTGCAGCAAAAACACATCTAATAAGACTAAAAAGAGCTCAAAGAGCTCTAATTAAAGTGATGTTCTTGAAACCGTTTCGATTTTCAACTTCTGAACTACATAAATCTTACAAATTGCTTACTACTCGCCAGATGTATATATTGAATTGTATTTTAAAAAAAGCATCGACATTTACCTTTCATACCTCATCAGACACCAAAACGTAGGAGTGCCAAAATTTGCAATATACCACAGAATAAAACAAAGTTTAAACAAAAGCAATACGTATTCCAATCTATATCTATTTACAACAAATTCAACAGCAGATAGAATATTTACCCCTTGACGTGGACTAAAGTTAAACGTCTAGTGACTCAATTTTTATTAACACTAAACTACGAAGAAACTGAACAATTTATTACATAACTTTTATACTTCGAACAGCCACACCAATTGTTAAAGCACTACCATACAACCACAAAACACACACACACACACACACACACACACACACACACCACACATACGCGCATCACACACACACACACACACACACACACACACACAAACGCGTGCATGCTTAGCATGCATGCTTATCATGTAATTATTATTATATTCCAAATTTCATTTACATTCTAATGCTAGATCTTGCCTTGCTTTTTGTTGTTTATTGATTAACATAGTATTGTCTTGGTGGATGAGCGGGGTACCCAGTAATACAGGTTTCCAACCTAGTACAGGGGCCCTTGCGACTGGTTTAAGATGTATCATTGTAAATCAATAAATCATTTTTCATTTTTTCATTTATTTCCTATGGTGAGTGTAGAGAACCGGAGACCCTTTTTACTGGAAATGAGGCATTCCATCTCAGTCCTCACGGGTGACAACGCATCTGCATTTTGATTTGTAATGGAAGATAGATGTAGATGTCTATGGGCCGCAGCAACCACTTACCATCAGGTGGACTGTGTGCTCGTTTGTCACCCTATCCTATAAAAAAAAAAGCGAGACTTTTTTATTGGCCGATTGTTCGGCTTTTATACTTTTTTTAGAGAGCTCCGCGTTCGACGATGGATTTGTGAAAAGAACGGGAAATTATTTAAATTAAAAGCAAATTTTTGTAAGCCAAAAGAAATTAAGTTTTGAAGTAAAAACATCAAACCGGTAACGAATTCGAATAAAAATTGCCATGACAACCAGATAAACAACGATGTCAAAACATGTCAAATTTTGGTTTTAGGCTCGTAATAGAGAAACGGCAAGATTTAAGTGAAAAATGAGATATTATTGATATAGGAAAAAAGGTAGCGCAACAGTGCGCACGAAGCCCGAAATTGCAGAGTTACGGAGAACTAAATAAAAGACCGAAAAAGGTAGACTCCATTGACACCGATTTAAAAAGTGCTGATAGTGTGAAAATACGAAGTGAAAATGATTTGTTATTGTGTTCTTATGGTTTAAAAACGTTACAGGATCCTATGGAAATAAAGGTGATGCAAAATATCCAGTTATGAGGCGAATGCAGAAAATCAAAAACAGAATGGAAAAATAAATTTAAAATAGTGTAAAATGATATGTAAGTAGCATAACACTACAACATCAACGGAGGATGTTTCTGCTAATATGGATAATGTGTAA